ATCACAACTGATGTAACAACATGTTGTAAATCCAGGTGTGAATGAGCCAATGGATCAGAAAGTCTGTATTGAGATAATACCATGTGGGGTACCAGTGTATATTCAGAACATTACATCCCCATACGCTTTTCAAGGATTGAGTGGAATATGAAGAGGAACCGCTGCTGTTAGAAGGTGGCAAAAACATCGTCAATATTCATCAAACTGATTGTTGATTGGTTGGGGGGATGAAAACAGGAAGGTGCAGATAGGTGACAGTCCTACCATGGTTGCTGGGTTCCAGGTGGTAGAAGGAGCAGTTTTGGGTTGCCAGTTGGTTCCACCTGTCAGCTTCTTCTCACCAGGCTGACTCCAGTGAAGATCACTACAGAGATCAAATCACATGTCAACCACATCAGCTACAGCAGGGATCTCCAGCTCAGGTCCTCGTGAGCTACTGTCCTGCAGGTTTTAGATGTTTCCGTACTTCATGACACCTGACTCAAATGAATGGATCATTACCGAACCCTATTTCTTGTGTGTTTATTCTTATTTTTATTCATCTCTTAATATTGTTTTTGTGTGGAACAGGTACACAAAGCATTTCACTGCACGTTGTACTGTGTATGACTGTGTTTGTGACCAATAAAGACCTTGAATCCTTGAAAACCTGCTGGACAGTAGCTCACGAGGACCGGAGTTGGAGAAGATACCTGAGCTACATGAAGTTAAATATTATTTGAGTGCACTTACTTCTTTGCTGTGCCGTTCCCAATTCCCAGATCTAAACAGGACAAAAGCAAAATAAATAAATAAATGAATGCAATGATCACATAATGCAATAAAAACAACACACCCAACGTATGCCTATTATCACCTATTATGTGAAAACTGAGAAAAATAGATGTGATTTTCCCTTGACTCTTTACAACATGCATTTTTTTTGGCTTATTACTCTTCCTTACATGGCACAGTGGGAAGAAAAAAAACAGGAAATGTGGGGACGGATAATGATTAGTGTTAAAACCCTGAAAAAAGATTACTGGAATGGGTGAAGTTAAGACATATAAACACACTTACTGCCAACAAGATTGGCAAGTGAGGAGTCCAGGTCATTGGACACCAGTTTGTGGGGCTGCTGGCCGTTTGGAGTCATGCTCTGATTTGGTGAGGATGCCACTGTAGGTTTGAGGATGCCACCTAAAACATCAAAGAAGGACAGGACGAAGAGAAGGGAAGGGAAGAGTGGGTGAGAGGTTGGGGGGGCACAGAACAGATGAAGATGCAATCGCAATATAACAGATAACAGACAATAACACAGCAACACACAACAATACACAAAATGCACACACAGGTACAGAGAGAGGATGTGAAGTGTAAATGAGGCAGAAAGCAGTGCTAACATCTGATCAAGCCAAGACTGTGTGAGAGCAGTGCGTGTCAGGTCAACTCACCCAGTCATGTATATGCCATGCAAAAAGTCAAGGCCCCCGGGAGAGTGGGTGATCCCAGGACAAGGCAAAGGAGAAAAAAAAAAAGGTGCTGTGAGCTTGTGAGCATCTTAGAACCCAATGAGGGTGTAGTGTTGCAACTCATAGTGTAACGAATAATGTAATGTAATGTAATAAAATCATGAACACATAATGTAAACAGCTTTGCACATAATGCAAGCCATCATGAGCTGTTATTACATTATCAGCTGTTTTTTTTTAAACATTATTAGCTATTATTACATCATTAGCGGTTAATACATCATGAGCTGCTATTACATTATTAGCTGCTATTACATTATTAGCTATTTTTACATTATTAGCTGTTATTACATCAGGAGCCATTCTTACACTATAAGTTGTGACATGTATGAACAAAGTGTAAATGAGATCAAGTGAGGAGGTAAATACAGCATTTAGAAACGTTATTCTTGCCACATTAATAATGACAGATTGGTATTGTTGCCATATAGTAACGTAGAGTAAAAGAGTCACTAAACCAGTCACACTTGAGTATCGCTAGAAAGCTTGTTTTTGTAAAAATTAAGACTAGTTTTCTTTAAATTTCTGGTGTACATTGTTAAATGCAGTGTAGAGGTCAAAACAAGGTGCCAGTGTCTTCCTATTTGTTAAGAAAGACAACAACGTTTATTTAAGGTGATATTTTGGTTTTAAACTGTTACACATAACAGGTAAATATTTTTTAACTCTCCTTATCCTAATCAAAATTATATATATATGTGTGTGTGTGTGCACGTGCAAACATACACAAAGTCACGTTTACACACTGATGGGGCATGAATGGGCGCAGCAATAACCGTCCATATGATCCCCACACACATACAAATAGGATGCAATGAACGTGGATGTGCAACCTGCCTCTCAAGGCTTCAGGTGACACAGTACAATGAAACCTGCTGCTGGCTTCCAAACAGCAACGAGAAGACAAGATGCCCGCGTGAGGACAGTCCCTACCTGTAGAATCCAGGCTGTTGGCGTTGGTGTTGTTGCCAAAGACAGAGTCAAAGTCGATGTTAAGGCCTCGAGAGTTGAGCGGCTGCTGGGAGGTCGGGGAGGCTGTAAACCCTGAGGAGGCAAAAAGAAAACTCAACACAACTCCAGGTGGTAGCAAGCAGGTAGAAGAAGCTACCAAACCCTAGGTGGTTTAGTCTTTAGTCTTTTACAGCCAGTGACACACTCACAGACCACAAGGTTCAAACTGGTAGTACTTTGATGTGCCTCAGTCTACCCACCTCTGAATAGACCAGCTATGACAGGGGGTTCAGACTGGAACTGAGGAGTGGTGTTGTAAGGGTTTGGCCCACAGAAGGAGTCTGACACACAGGAGCAACAGCAGACAAGCAAAGAAACAGAGAGAACACGGGAGGAAAATGATGACAATATGACACCTGAAGAAAACACTGTCAAAAAAAGAAAGCTTAGCAGGGAGGAAGCTAAGAAACTGTGGGAATGGCTTTTTAAACAGAGGAAAAACAAAGATCAGGATTTCCAGAGCAAAAGCAGAGGAAGTCAGCACTTATTACACGGCCAGACTAAATACAGGGTGAACTTTAGGGCAGCACATAACAACAGAACAATGCACGCTGACAACCACAGGCTTGAAGTAAGCAGGGAGGGAAGAAGGCGGCATGTTCAGCAGCAACGCTCTGATTTCTCTACGAGACACCGAGTCGATCCGGCTCTCTCATGACGAATGTAACACAACATCTCACTACTCTCAGGTCAGCAATCTGGCAGCCAGGCAACAATAGTACCTGTGACAAATGTCTCTATGTGTGCAGCGGTATCAGGATTAGACGCCAGAGAAGAGCTTGAGGCAAAAAAAAAACAAACAAAAAAAAGGATTGTAATGATCTGGAGAAAAACAAAATGCTACAAAACGCTGCTGATAAAGACGGTCATTCACACAAAAACTGTTTTGCTCTTTGAAATACAAGCAGAGAGAGAGAAAGCACTTTAGCCAACACTGGATGGAGACAAATATTAGGAATATGGCAGCGGGCCAGGTCTCTGATAGATGTGAGAAAAGTGTCAAGAGACAATTTGTTTTACGTGGAGACAAAATTAAATCTGCACTGTAAAGAAAACGTGAGGATGCAGCAAATCAGCCAACAGCTCATGGCGAGGTGTCTGAGCCTGCTGCTGACGGGTGGACAGCAACGACAACAGGCAGTGTGAGGAAAGGGTTTGAGTTTGGAAGAGATTCCTCCACAGCTTCTCCGTCAGAGGTGCAAGGATCTGAGTGGGCAGGAGAGAAAAGGAACAAAGACAAAAAAAAGAAGAAGGAACAAAGAGACTGTAGTGGAGAGGACAGTGAGAAACGTCAGAGCGAATTTAAAAAGTGCATGAATGACGATGTGAAGAGGAAAAATGTTAGTGTTGCAGGTGGGAAGGATTAAAACTGTTGGACATGAGGTGACAGGCTGATATCATGCACTCTGTTGCTTTGGGGACTCTCGCCTGACGTGTTTATGACAGAAGGGCAAACAGGAATGAGGCAACCACATATAGCAGGACTTACAGATGGGACAAATACGCAGCATTTTAAATTTACAAACAAGCTTTCGAACTTACAGTCGTCCTCAAATGTATTCATACCCTCCCATTAAAGACAGAAAAAAAAACCAGCTGGAACGGAAATATGTTGAAATTGACAAAAGTAATAATAAATACAAATTTAATGACGTTGCTTTATTTAGATTTTTTTTTTAATTATTCTTTTCAACCACAATTCAGAAGCAATGTCTTATTTCACTAAATTATAATTCAGCATTTTTTTGTTTATTATTACTTTTTTCAGTTTCTAGTTATTTGAGTGACTATTGTGAGTTTTTCCTTTTCTTTAATAGAAGGATATTGAATACATGTGAGGATGACCATACACTTTCACAATGCTAATATTCATCAGGCTTGAATTCGTAAAAATCCAACGTATCTTCAGACTTTCCCCGACATAACAAATACGACAAAGTGAACGAGCCTAATCTAAATTTAAAAATCTAAATATATATTAAGTATTTAAATAAAATCTAAATACTTTGAAATCAATACCTTGCATTAATAGTAGTTACAGCTGTTATCTGTGTAACCCATAACTTTTACATACCTTCTGGTGTGATACTGAAGTGAAACGCACATATTAATATGAAGTGATGTGAGAAAGGGTTGCAACTGCAAGCAGGTCATATCTTAGTCAATATTACACTGAAGACGGTTTTTATAGGGAAAAAAAAAACAAAGTCAGTGTCATGTAGAAATGTTCACATACAAATGATGCAGAAGAATAAAATCCCATCATGTAGCTAAAAGTACAGCAATATGACACACTGGCAAAGTATTCTTACATGTCTGTAGCCTAAATATCAGACTTTTCAAATAAAAAGTCCAACAAAAAAATATGCAAATGGAAGCCAGTCGTTGCTTCAGCTTGAGCTCTGGTTAGGAAGTGGAACCACTGAACATGCAACTCAAAACGTGTTGACGCACGGTTACGAATGAAGGTTTGCAGCAGAGGTCTTGAGTTTTTACTGACTCCTACAGTTCTTTATTTACTACGATGGAAGCATTGAAACATGTGCATCTTTGTCCAAAAAAAAAAAGAAGCACTAATTCCACTGGCACCAAACAGCCTCAGAGCATGATACTACCTCCACCATGCTTGATGGTAGGTTTGGTGTTCTTGACATAAGAGGCCCCACCTTCTCTCATCTAAAGATATTTCTGGCCAAACGGCTCGATTTTTGTTTCATCTTACTACAGAACAAAAACTTTTCTTTGTCCATGTGATCGGCAGCAAACTTCGTACAAGCTTTAAGGTATTGCTTTGAGTAGCTTTTGTAAAAGCACTCTTGCGTACTTGGGAAGATGCCGACCCTAGCAGACCCCAGCAGACCCTAGCAGACCCCAGCAGACCC